GGGGGGGGGGGGGGGGGGGGATCGCATTGATCGTCTGGTGATGAATAGTTGTTATTCATTTTTGTATTCGGTTTTGATTGGGTGTCAAGGATGATTTTGAAATTTTAAGAAGCTAACAAGGGGATTATAGCATTTTTTAAATAAATGAGTATCTGTTCTCTTTTTTTGTTCCGATTTCACTATTTTCTTCTTATATTTTGTCATGTCATAGTACTATTATCAATTGAAATGCCATCAAAATTTTGCGTATTATTTCGTTCTGTCGAATAATTCTAGGTTCAAACCCTCTCAAGACTCGAATGTTTTTAATCCGGGCTTAATCAAGGTTCAATCAAGGTTTGATCAGTGTATAGCCGGGATTTAATCAGGGTTTATTCAGGATTTAGCCAGAGTTTAACCCAGGTTCTGTCAGAAGTTAGTCGGGACCATGAATCAATATGAATGAGTATTCAACATAATAGACTAGTACCTGAGTGTTTAATAGAGATAGAGATTTTGATATAAAAAGCTCATGACGGTATTATGTAACTTGACAAGCAATGATGTTGTTCTCACCATTTTTCAACTTGATTAAGATGGCGTTGAAATATATTTTTCAAGCTCTAATGTAATTCCTATTCATGATGATTCTTTCAGTAATAATGAAAAACCAGATTTTCTCTTTCAAATCGCATAAACAATGTGCTGTAACTCAATAACGAATTGGGCGATCCCCATCATATTCTGAAAGAATCAAGAGGGTACTGTTATCAATCTTTTGAGCCATGACTAATTCTATTTTGATGACAATTTTTTGAGTGACCGTTGAGAATTCGATTTTGAAAAAATATCAATCTTTCGAATCTTTATGAAAAATTGAATTTGAATTGGTGTCAATGCCTAGAGCGTATTAAAGTGTATATTTTTGAATGAAGAAAAAGACCACATACATGTAGACATCTATTTAGTTATTTTAACACAGTCAATTGAAAACTCGCAAACTCATGCAACAGAAATGAAGAGTCGAATCATCCAGAGAGATCATCCAAATCACCTTCCCCGACATTTCCTCAACAGTCGAGCCTAGGTAACTCGAAATTTCAGAGGCGTGGGGTTTCCACGTCATGACCAATGCCAGAGTGAAGTACCTCGAGGGAGACAAACTCGGCGACAGGGAACTAGTTTCTACGCTCCGTTTTTCCTACCTCATTCTCCTTTCCACCGCATTTTCCTTTTCTTCATTTTTGTATTTTATTCCCCTGTATTTTGTTTCCGTTATTTTGTTTTTGTCCCTCGCGTTCGTTTTTCCTTGGACGTTTCTCTCGTCTGTACTTTCCACATTCCCAAGAGGATTTATGGTAGAATATCCCATCTTGGACGAAAAAAAACTTGCCTCTCTCTCTCACCCTCACTCTCTTACCAGAGGAGATTCTTCCTAATACGTTGCCTTCGATAAAGTTTTACAAATTCCACCATCGGAGTTGAATTACAGGGATATCGAGCACGTCGTGGAGGCTAGATGCGAAGATCCAGGTTCGTTCGAGTTGGAGTTTATCATCCCACTAAGACGAGAGTCTGCAAGAAAATTCCTATCGGCTGCAGAAATCATTTATTTTTACCCTGGAACATCTCTATCTCTCTGCATCCAATGTTCATCAATTCGTTTTGCGATTGCAAAATAAGAGAGATAGAATTGACAAGTACACTGAGAGAACAAATCAGTTCTGCCGAAAAATTATATGTTCCCCTGAAGAGATATTTTGTCGTGTTGAATCAATTTACTTGTGGACAACACGAAAGTTTCCACCAAAACATGATAATTTTCGTAGTAGTTATTATTCTCGTGAGACATTTGTATGTCTTTCGAGTGCATACATCCGTTCTACAGAGAATTATATGAGCCTCCGGTTTTATCAAGTGAATGTTACTGAGTAGTGTATATCTTTGTCCAATAAACACTTATAATTTGCATGGAACAAATGATAATTCCAAGAGGAAACTACAATTTTCTTGCCGGAAACTGTGTTATTGGCAAAACTAAATAATTTCGAGGGGACATTTTTTGTTGGGAAAAAAATATTCTTCCCTCGTCAATGTATTCTTTCTATGGT